GCCCGGGGGCTGGGTTTGAGCCCATTAGCATCTGCTTGGACGGGGAACATTCCCACGGGGGCTGGGTTTGAGCCCATTAGCATTTGCCTGGACGGGGAACATTCCCCTAAAATTTCAGCTTCTAGCATCTCAGAACCCCGAGTTATGAATTTGCGCGGGAAAAATTTTGGGTGGCCCATACGCGGGTACCACGCCTACCCGGGGGCTGGGTTTGAGCCCATTAGCATTTGCCTTTGGGGGGCTCGTACACGGGTACCATGCTTATCCGGGGGTTGGATTTGAGCCCATTAGCATCTGCTTGGACGAGGAACATTCCCCTAAAATTTCAGCTTTCCTAGCACTTCAGAACCCCGAGTCATGAATTTGCGCGGGAAAAATTTTGGGGGGCCCATACGCGGGTACCACGCTTACCTGAGGGCTGGGTTTGAGCCCATTAGCATCTGCTTGGACGGGGAACATTCCCCTAAAATTTCAGCTTTCTGGATTTGAGCCCATTAGCATCTGCTTGGACGGGGAACATTACCCTAAAATTTCAGCTTTCTAGCTCCGGGGGTTGGATTTGAGCCCATTAGCATCTGCTTGGACGAGGAACATTCCCCTAAAATTTCAGCTTTCCTAGCACCTCAGAACCCCGAGTTATGAATTTGCGCGGGAAAATTTTGGGGGGGGGCCGTAACGGGTACCACGCTTACAGGGGGCTGGATTTGAGCCCATTAGCATCTGCTTGGACGGGGAACATTCCCCTAAAATTTCAGCTCACGGGGGCTGGGTTTGAGCCCATTAGCATTTGCCTGGACGGGGAACATTCCCCTAAAATTTCAGCTTCCTAGCACCTCAGAACCCCGAGTTATGAATTTGCGCGGGAAAAATTTGGGGGGGCCCGTACGCAGGTACCACGCTTAGCCGGGGGCTGGATTTGAGCCCATTAGCATCTGCTTGGGACGGGGAACATTCCCCTAAAATTTCAGCTCACGGGGGCTGGGTTTGAGCCCATTAGCATTTGCCTGGACGGGGAACATTCCCCTAAAATTTCAGCTTTCGGGGGCTGGGTTTGAGCCCATTAGCATCTGCTTGGACGGGGAACATTCCCCTAAAATTTCAGCTTCCTAGCATCTCAGAGCCCCGAGTTATGAATTTGCGCGGGAAAAATTTGGGGGTGCCCGTACACGGGTACCACGCTTACCCGTTGCTGGATTTGAGCCCATTAACATTTGCTTGGACGGAGAACATTCCCCTAAAATTTCAGCTTTCTATGCTGGGTTTGAGCCCATTAGCATCTGCTTGGACGGGGAACATTCCCCTAAAATTTCAGCTTTCTAGTTCTCAGATCCCCGAGTTATGATTTTGCGCGGGAAAATTTTGGGGGGCCCATACACGGGTACCACGCTTACCCGGGGGCTGGATTTGAGCTTGCGCGGGAAAAATTTTGGGGGGCCCGTACACGGGTACCACGCTTACCCGGGGGCTGGATTTGAGTGGGAAAAATTTTGGGGGGCCCGTACACGGGTACCACGCTTACCCGGGGGCTGGATTTGAGCCCATTGGCATTTGCCTGGACGGGGAACATTCCCCTAAAATTTCAGCTTTCTAGCATCTCAGAACCCCGAGTTTTAACACCTGCTTGGACGGGGAACATTCCCCTAAAATTTCAGCTTTCTAGCATCTCAGAACCCCGAGTTAGAATCTGCTTGGACGGGGAACATTCCCCTAAAATTTCAGCTTTCTAGCATCTCAGAACCCCGAGTTATTCTGCTTGGACGGGGAACATTCCCAGCTGGATTTGAGTCCATTAGCATCTGCTTGGACGGGGAACATTCCCCTAAAATTTCAGCTTTCTAGAACCTCAGAACCCCGAGTTATGAAATAGCGCGGGAAAAATTTTGGGGGCTCGTACACGGGTACCATGCTTATCCGGGGGTTGGATTTGAGCCCATTAGCATCTGCTTGGACGAGGAACATTCCCCTAAAATTTCAGCTTTCCTAGCACCTCAGAACCCCGAGTTATGAATTAGCGCGGGAAAAATTTTGGGGGCCCGTACACGGGTATCACGCTTTTGGGGCTGGGTTTGAGCCTATTAGCATCTGCTTGGACCGGGAACATTCCCCTAAAATTTCAGCGTTAATGCTTGGACGGGGAACATTCCCCTAAAATTTCAGCTTTCGGGGGCTGGGTTTGAGCCCATTAGCATCTGCTTGGACGGGGAACATTCCCCTAAAATTTCAGCTTCCTAGCACCTCAGAGCCCCGAGTTATGAATTTGCGCGGGAAAAATTTGGGGGTGCCCGTACACGGGTACCACGCTTACCCGTTGCTGGATTTGAGCCCATTAACATTTGCTTGGACGGAGAACATTCCCCTAAAATTTCAGCTTTCTATGCTGGGTTTGAGCCCATTAGCATTTGCCTGGACGGGGAACATTCCCCTAAAATTTCAGCTTTCTAGTCCGGGGGTTGGATTTGAGCCCATTAGCATCTGCTTGGACGAGGAACATTCCCCTAAAATTTCAGCTTTCCTAG